ATGATATCTCCAAATTTGGAAATATCTATGAGTTAGAGAAATCAACCATCTTCTAAGGTTAAAATGATAATTACATTTGTCTTTGGCACCTTTCCTTTAACTGACAAAAACTGTTTATCTAACTAGTAAATAGACTATTAAATTAGATAAATTTCTGCTCTAATGCCAAGTCTGAAGTAACTTCCATGTTCTTTCCCAGAGTTCCACAAGTGTGAGAGATAATTAATCATTCCTTTCAGATGCAAATAGCACCCTAATAGTGAGTTTAGAAGCAGCAAAGTTGGATCTATTTATTTTTTTTCCAGTACAACCTATTATTATTTTCTTATATTGGATTCTGCTATTATTTTAAAAATTATACAGAAATGATAGGTGGTTCTATCAGTGTGTGGTGTGGCATTTAGGATAACTCTTGCTACCAGTTCAGGTCATAACCTACTTATGACTCAATAGATAAAATTTTAGTGAGTTGCCTTACCGATTAAGAGACTTGTCCATGGTCAAACAGCTGGTAATTATCTGAAGCTGGATTTGAACCCAAGTGTTCCTGATTTTTCATTTTAGCTCTATCTACTGCACTGTTTAGCATGATTATATTGTGTCTAATTTTAAAATAGTAATTTGAAAAAAATACATCTTAAAAAAACTTTTATTGCTTCTTGATGTACATAATGTCTGGGCATCTTTTGAAGAATAGTTATTATACCTGAATCTGGGCTCAGAATAGCAACTACTTTGACCCCCAAATATTTCACTTGATAAATACTGGCCCACTGTATATAGGGTCATTTGGTAATGGAGTGGAGAAAATACTGGACTTAGAGCCAACAAGATCTAGGTTCAAATTCTACCCTAAGTACTTAACTAGTTGTTTGACTCTGGCCAAGTTTCTTGATCTTTCAGTTTCTCAGTTTCCTCCTCTAGAAAATAAGAGTTGGGACTCATTGGTTTCCAAAAATCCTCTTTTAGCTCTAAATATATGATCTTATGACCAATCCTCCCATACCTGCTCTTTTGCCCAGTCTCATGTTGATTTAATGGCATGTGAGATGATTGGGCAAGGTAAAACATGATGGGTGAATTAAATTCACTCATAACCCAATCATTCTTCAAACCATACAGCCATATTGCTTAATAACATGTTACCAAATTCATAGAAAACTGGTTTTGATTCCTTTTCTTTTATTCCTAATCCCAAATTTTAATACTTAGAAAAGGTGAAATCACTCTTAACTAGTGACATGCCACCCTGTTCTCTATTTTTAAAAATAAATGGTTATTATATGTGCCACAAATGTCAAGATGAGCAGAGATTTGGTTTGGCTCCTGTGAACTTTTTTTCACCCTTTCTGTCATGGAACTAATTGGTTACAATTCAAAAAGCAATGATTTTCTTTCATCATGTTCTTGTTTTCCTCTTTATTCACTAGGTGTTAATTATGTAGTCTATCTATTTTATTTTCTGAGCTCACATTTTCATTTCTATTTCCTTGTAATTCTTTTTGAAGATTTAAAATCTATGACCTATTAAAGTTTATAAAAAAAAAAAGTTAGTTGGTGTTGTCCTACATATTGAAAGTTTTGGTTCTACCCTCTCTCTCAATTATGAAATTAAGAACCTGAAAGCACATAGTTCAACTAGAAGTTTATGTGAAACACGGCTGTGTTGATGCACCAATTCAGGCTTTGCATTAATCGTCCACTATTTCAGGAGTTACAAGGATCTAGCTCTAAAAATAGTAGGCTATAAATTTTCTTTTGAGTTTCAAAATGTCATGATTACTTTCCACTCACTGAATACCATATAGCTATCAGATACACATTTGTTCATAGCACAAGACTCATGAGGCTGTAGTTCTAGGTTCAGCATTCACATGTGGGTCAGTTCGTATCCTCTTCTGTGACCTGCAAACTACTATACTGATCAGTCTGGTCTTCTGTTGGTGTTGGAAAGAATGTTGGATTTGAGGTCAGGGGACCAGACTTAGAATCTAAATCCAGACCCTGTTAACTACTTGTGTGACTCTGCACAAATAATTTAATCTCTCTGTCCTTTATTTCCTCATCTCCTAAATGAGTTGGGTCAGGAAGATAATTTTTAAAGTCTAGCTAAATGAAACCAACCCTATAACCATGGTTGGATCAAAAAGCAAATTGTAAAATAACTTCCATTTTTGCGAATAAAAACTAGGAAGAGTCCAAAGTCAATATAGTTATAAAAATAGGTCTGTGAATAGACATTTTTTTCTATTTTTAGTATCACAAGAGATCCCAAAGAATTTAGTAAATCTTTTGAGTTACTTAAGATATATTTTTTGCCATCATCTTCAGGCCATTCAGAGTATACCATAAAGCTTACACATAGAATTTTGGAGTTCTATTTCCACTAATAGGAAGGAAAAATAACATACATTTTAATGGTCTTCCTAAGCATATCAAATACCTTTCATGACTAAAGATTTATCATTGAAATAATTTTTATCTCATTTAAATAACTCCTTGGGTAATCCTAAAATTTTGATTGGGTTGCACTTTTATCATAGAAGCAATCTTTGGTTTGGTCTAGCTTCTTCATTTTACAGATGAGAAAACTGCAGCTCAGAAAAGTTGGGATTTGTGTGAAGTTAAGAAAGCAGTTTGTGCCAGAGAAGAAAGACTAGGAAGAATCTCCTGATTCTTTCCATTTCCCCATGCCACCTCTCTCTGCTTACTATGGCTGTTTATTTTTGTATCATTATTAGTTGCTATGAATAAAGACAACAAAGGGTTTTGCTTACAAATTTGGTGGAACATGTTAGAACTTTTAAGCATCAAAGAAATTAAGAATATGTAAGTTATCCATATGATATGCCAGTCCCTCTGATCAGTACCAACAATAAAAAAAACAAACAAAACCCTGAAACATGAGAATTGAAAAAAAACATGGAAGGTATTAAAACCTATGAAAAAAGGAAAACTGAGGGGAAAAAAATCTATTTCCTCTCCATATTTAAATACAAATGTTCATTAGACACATAGACTTAGTAGCCCTTAATTAGGGATTCCTAGTCTATAGATTTGCATTACCACTAAATAATATGTATTCTAAGTTTAACAAAGGTTAATTTTTCCACTTGGACAAAAACATTTTTTGTCATTCATTGTAAAAATGATAAATTCTCTAAAAATCAGTCTGAGTTTTTTTCCTTAAAAGGGGCATTTTAATAAAATTACAGAAACAGCAATGAAAGATAAGTTCTCTAAAAATAGGTCTGAGTTTCTTCCTTAAAGGGGGCATTTTAATAAAATTATAAAAACACCAATAAAAGCATTCATACCCTCCTGTGATACTAGAAATATAGACATATCAGCAACCCTGAATGAAATCCAGAAAGTAAACTAATGCTAGTTAAATTCACTTAAGGTACTGAAATGCAAACAAATAAATAGAATTAAGAATGAGGGTTGACTTGCAAGGCTAAATTCCAATTTTGACCATCTAGCTGTTTAACTTTAAAATTTTAGCTTTTCATTCAAATGGGCCACTGTGAAGTAACTCTAGATTAATGTTCTCTTTAGTTGGAATATGGCTATAATCAGGATGATTAGTGTCTAGTGTGAACCTAGCAAAGGGGCAGATAGAGATGAGAGAGAGAGAGAGAGAGAGAGAGAGAGGAGAGAGAGACCTAGTGGAGGGTGTAGCTTTCTTTTACAAGTACTAGTGAATAATAAAATACTCACTTTCTTAAGACGGTTACAAAGAACTCTAAACACAATGTTACAAAAAAAAACCCAAAACAAAAACTTTATTTTCCACAAAGAAGAGCAATAGGAAAAATTATCATTCCCCATGTATTCTTAAAACAGAGCCTACAAGGACACGTTCAGCACCAAAATAAAAAAAAAGGGAAAAGGAAAAAAGTACAAATGACCATAGAATAGATTCTATAAAGCAAACATTTAATATTGCACTTTGTTTCTTTAACATTTTGGATTTAACTTGTCTTTCCTAATTGGAAAATCAGGAATCTCAAACACTGGAATACATTTATGAATATAATGCTTTATGTCAGGAACTGACCAATACCTAGGAAATAATATAGTAAAGTAATGCCTCTAAACAACAGAGTATAGAAATACTTTCATGAAAAAACAAAAACAAAAACAAAAAACTATTTGATACAGTTTTCAAAATTTGAAGTGATCACATTTCTTCATGTGGTCGAGCGCCAATTCCTACTGGTCATCCCTGCTCTCTGTGTAACTTAAGGATTACATCATGTTAAGTATTCCAATGCTATGCATATCAGTAATTGTTCCCTAGTTAGTGAGACAGAAGAGGAAGAAAAAAATAAAGGGGTTCATCTGACAACCCCTCCCCACAACAACAACAACAACAACAACAAAAAACCACCAAATGCCCTTTATGCCAAATAATCCATCAGGTTTTTTTTTTGGGGGGGGGACATCCACAAAATTATTTAACAAGAATAAAAAAATATTTCACCCCCCATTTCCTTGTTATCTAGTATTAGTTTTCTTACTGGAAAACCCTTTAACTGAATCACTTAAAACGTGATTCATTTTTATGCTGGGTTTTCTTCACCCTGTCAGCATTTTTCAAACATGAATTGTCTTCCATGTTTTCTTAAAGGCCACTTATGGAAAAGCCTATTTTGTTTTTTGTATGAAATTTTAAGACAGTATTTAACCAGGTCAAGCACCATACCAGAGTCTCTAAGGTTTATAGCCACTTCACTAAGTCATGCCTTAGAAGGCAGGATAGCTATAACACACCCTTCACTCATCAAAAAATGTTAATTTTGGTAGAAAAAAATTATTAAATTCTTTCTGAAATGGAAAGTTTATATGTACTCTGAGAATGTAGTATTATCAATGATTTTACAAATGCTGGTATATATATTAAGAGAGCTAACCATAATTGTTTTCAGTAAATTATGCTACTGATTTGATCACTGTTCCTTGTTTGTGGAGGATGGAAGCTCCCTTTCTACAGGTCCTTTGAAGTTCTGTCTTTTTTTTTTTTTGTCTGAACATAAAGCTGACCTCTTAAAAAATGTATTGCTGGTATAGGTTCCTCAGTTCATGGAAACCTCCCTTCAAAAAGAGACAATTCTGCCAGCAATGACTGATCTGGTGCTGGTCATTTTGGTGGGTTTTTGTTTGCTCAATTTGTGTTTATTAAAAAGCAAAAAAAAAAACCAAAAAAACCCTCACACCCTATCAAACCTCAATAGACCATAATGCAAATAGTATAAACTGAGTCCTTTTAGCATAACCATATTTTCTTGCACTTTTCAAATATACTTTCTACCAGAGCAAAGACTTAAAACATATATGCATTTTTCAGTTACTATGTATAAAAATAAATTTCCTTTCCTTTCCTATCCCTACATTGAGTGGCTGAGATACTTTCATACTGTTTGGACGGTAAAAGACATTTCTTAAGAGCAACAGCCCTTATTTAACCCTTGGCTGGTGCCTGCTGATACTGCCTTTATTATTCCATTTTCAGCTCTTGCTAATTTCTTCTTCCATGTGTAATGATAAAAAGGGAATGTGGGTGGGTTTCTAACTTTTGTGTATGTCCCTTTTCCAAATCTCCCTCCCCCAAAACCAACCAAATAAACAAAACAACAACAACAAAGGAAACAAAAAAACAACAACAACAACAAAAAATTCAACAGTGCAATTAAACACAAATAGCATTCCAACAGTTTGGCAAGTGATGCGTTCACCTGAGATTAAGTGATTTTAGGCAGTCTGTAACAAAATGCTGCTTTGCTGTAATAGTAGAAAGGCAACACATTCTCAAAATAAATCAAGAAAGTTATACAATCTTGACAGTCTCATGAGTTTCCTCATCTCTTTTTTTCTCTCCCTACATTGGTGTTTGCTTATCTACTACAGTAGGCTGCAAAACATACAGCAAAAAGGATTGGCTTGAAGGCATTTGATGTTTGTAAATAAATCCACAATTGGATCCAAGCTGAAGAGGTGATATATGGTCAGCCTAGAAGGACAATTCTGAGCATGTGCTACACAGGTAAAGTCCAGGCTACATTAAATTAAAAAAAAAATGTCAGTGCATTTGTCATAATAAAGTTTTTTTCAAAGCTTTCTTTTTGCTCCTTGTTGTGCTGACCACAAGCAAGTTTTAAAAGAGCATCAAGAGTCCGGCATAAATGGGGAAAAAAAAAAAAAAGCTGTAGTGACACTGAATCGCACAATGTAAGCATTGAGCATGTGCAAATTTTCAAATCAAAAGAAGGAAATTTTCCCTCTTTTACAACGTGGTATCTTGACACTTGTACGATCATAGGCTAGAATAAGGCTGCCCCATGTATGTGCCAGTTTAAGGGGAAAAAAGCTCACGTCTTCAAGCATGTGGGAGCAGTCCTGTGATGTTGCTATAAGGCTTCAAAAGCATGATCACGGGTGGTTTCATGTATTTGCCATTTTCTGGGCAAGAATAATACCACTTCCTCTGAAAACGTGTCTCCAAGATACTTCCTCTATCCACAGCAGGGCAGAGATACAGTTCCAAACCAAGGTCAACTATTTCAATCCAGCTTTCCTTCAGCGAGAGGGGCAAGATGGTCTGTCATCTGTTTGTTGATCTGGATTGGGATCAATCTAGAAACAAAGAAAAGAAATATTAAGCTACTTTGAAAATACTTGTATTAAGCATGCCAATAATGTATTTGGGAAGATACCCTTGAAGTTTCTAGTATAGAGTACTGTCCTAAAAAAAAAATTTCTTCCCAACATTCAGCTTCAGTCTATCATATGCAAAAATTAAGAATACAGAAAACTGTGAAAACATTTTCATAGAAATTATATCCTTTGCTAAAAAGGTCATGTGAGTATTTTGCTTTAAAAATTGGCATAACTCTCCTCAAGACATTGTGACTGTACTTGTGTAAGCAATGCCCTGGGAGATTGTGGAGGTGCAGTAACAATCTCCAAACTAAGCAAATCTGTGTATGCAGATGGCAGAATGGAACGCACAAGTCATTTCTTCATGGTCTTCACGGTTAAGTCCTGTCCAATTTCATCTCAACTTGGGATAATCACAAAAGCTTGGAAAACAATCAAGATACTGAAGATAAACAGCCTGTATCCCCCCTCCACCCCCATTGTGACCACACTTTAACAAAAGGATAAATGGGGCAGCAATTCTAACTTACGACACCACATTCTTTTGTGTTACAAATGGGCTTAATATTCTTATGCATTTTAAAAATGCTATGCCAAGGGAAAGAAAACTCTCCAAAACCTGTGTTATGAGGCCATTCCCAAGTCATGTAAAAGTATCACTACAACTCTTGAATTCAGCAAGAACAAAAGCTGTTATGATCCCACCAAAAAAAAAAATCTGCTGAAAACTGATTTTACACAGATTGTGGTACGTGTAAAAGCTCCTGGTACTCTTGCTAGGCAGGAGTCAAATCCAACAGCCAGATATGAAAAGACACAGAGCTAATAAATATGCAGCTAAAAATGTGACCCGATTATAAAGCGTTTGAAAGAATATGGTCAGGATGTACCAGAAATAACAGGGTAGACCTTATCTTAACTTTTAACAATAGAAGGCATGGACAATCAATGTAGTTCATTGAAGAACCATAGTTAATCGATGAGTGAAAATCACCAATCAGGCTGTGAAAGGGTTCTAAATATTGGTGGCTATTAAGGATTTAGACAAAAATCTTTCAAGTTCTCAAGATGAGCTCTCATCCTAATAACACTTAAAATACTGGCATTTCGACAAAGAATGGATAGTTAAAGAGAATTACTTTCAGCGTCAACAGTTTTTGAACAGGAGACTAACAACACTAAGTACTGGCTTTTTAAAAACAAAAGCAGCAAAAACTATTAAAAAAAAAAAGGTGGTTGCAATGTCATTAAAAGAATACAACGCCATTAGAATAGCTGAATTTTTTTCCTTAGAAAATTAACTGCTGCAAAGATTTTTCTTTCAAAGTTCTTCGTTTCTGTTCTAATTTCAAGAACATGGATTTTGCTTGTGAAAAAACTTTCTGAATTTTATGTAATAATCAAAACTGTCCATTTTGTCTTCTGTGGTCCTCTCTTATCCTTTGTTTGGTCATAAACTGTTCCCCCATCTATAGATCTGAAAGACACTTTCTTCCTTGCCCCTCTAATCTGTTTATGATGTCACCCTTTACAGCTAAGTAACTTGGAGCTTATCTTGGTATAACACAGTAAGACTTTGGATCTATAAAGGCAGTGCTTTTTTCAGCGTGTGTGTGTGTGTGTGTGTGTGTGTATTCATGAAAATGAATTATGGTATTAGTCTAAGAGGAATGTCATTAGAAGGCTACATTTCTTGTAGAAGAATTCTTATGTCAGTCTAAAGGCCCAAAAAAAATACTTTTGTATTATCTGCCGCTTTTGGAGTTATTTGTTTTTTTCATAGCATAGAGAAGAGTTGAGGGCACTGTGTCAGCAGTTCTGATGACCCAGGAGAATGGAAACAAGGTATTGGAGTTTACCTCTGAATAAAGAGGGGGCGGCAGAAACCGGAACTCCTGAATGTATGCGAACAGTGGTCCTTGGAGAGCCCTCTCAAAATCATCATAGGCACTCATGGGCACGAGATGGCTCTGCCTCTGCTCCTCTGTGACAACTTCGGCATAGCTGGGTGGTGCTAAAGGATAAAGATACACGCAATTCGAACAGCAAGTTCTTATGCATGTCAAAATACAAAGCATTACAGATAGTATAGATGTTAAAAGGAAAATTTGGGGGCAAACTAGATAGGTAAAAGAACTGATGGACAAAAGGTAAGACTAACTGCTAACAGAAAGTCTCATTACAAAAAGAGCTTCATTTTAAGTTTAAATGCCCGGGATAGATCTGCACTTTATAAGTAAAAATAAACAATTAACTCATATGTACATAGCACTTTCCTCCCAACTACCTTGTAAAATAGGGCTGTGCAGGCATTATTTTTACACACTAGGAAATGGAGGCTCCAGGCAGTTCTGATAGAAAGACAATGATGATATTAGTTAGCATTTATACAGCGCTTACTATGCTCTAGACACCGTGCTAAATATTATCTCATTGGAGCCTCACAACAACTCCAGGAGGTAGGTGTCATTAGCTTCATTTTACAGTTGAGGAAACTGAGACAAACAGAGGTTGTAACTTGCTCAAAGTCATAGCTGGTAAGTATCTGTGACTGGTTTTGAACTGGAGTCTTCCTGACTCCACACAGCTACCTTGTGGATAATCACACATCTAGCAATGGGCAAAGCCAGGGTTGTTCGAACCTAGATCTATCACTTCCTACTCTGGTCTACCACCAAATAGTCCTGTCCTAGAGAAATTAGGTTGCTGAATCAAGAGCTTAGAAATGAATTAGCAAATTACCTTCAGGTCTTTCAGGCAGGGATAGACCAAGCCAGTTCATATTTATGCTACACTGGCTGCTGACACTGGACGTCCTGCTACCAAATGGATGTAGAGGAATAGTACCGATGACAAGTGGCAAATTAAGAAATAAGTCCATGGCTCCAGGAATATCCACATATACCTAAGAGGCAAAAAACAAAGGCAGGTGCATCCTTTAGCTGAAATACTGTTTTGCATCTTCGGAGGGATGTTGCAATTCAAATGGTGCACGCTTGCTTAAAACTGGTATCTAATTTTTATTGTAGATGAAATTTTCTCTGTAGTCATATACCACATAAGTGGTGTCAAACTCTGGCCACATCTACCCCTTGCTGAACAAGATTAAAATGTAATTGGGAAATGTTTAACAAAATAAATAAAAACACAAGGTTATATAATTTAATCTGTGGATTTCTACATCAACATGCAATCTGAATCGATCCTTATCTCTGCTTTAGTGGCTTCCCTCTCTATGTGAATCATTATAATATAACAATATAAAATGTGAAGTGTATAGGCCTCACATAACAAAACTGAAAAGCCAAACAAAACTTAAAAGGTCTCTTAAAAAAAAAGCCTACAAGGAGGCATAATAGAAATCTGAAATCTGTGCGTACCATTAGTGAATATTCCACCCGGATTATACTACAGTCCAAAATAGAAGGGGAAACTGGGGGAATTTTCAGCAGCCTCCCATTCCAGGTCTCTGTCTTCCCAGATGACAAGGATTCTCCTCGCAAATTGGCCACAAGTTGTTTTACTTCCTTCATTTTCCCTTTGGCATAGAAAGCCTGTGTTTGGTAAATGGCTGCCTTTGGCACCACCATTCGGGAAGAGCAGTTCTCAATTTCAGCAAATATCTGAATTGATTCACCTAGAGTAAAATACAAATGAAAAAAAAATCAAAGGACGGTTAGTGATAAGACAGCTGAGAAGAAAAAAAATATTTACTCATTTCTTTGACAAATGTTAAAATTTTAAGAGACATTTCACCAAATGAGAAATTTGTTCCAGAGTGGCAAATTTTAGAGCTAACAAATTTACACCAATAATAGCTAGCATTTATGTAGTTTTGCAAAGAGGTTTACACATTGCCTCACTTGATCTCATAATAACTCTAGGAATAGGTGCTACTATTATTTCCATGTTACAGATGAGGACGCTGAGGCCAAAGATGTTAAAATGCCTTGCCTCAATATCACACAGCTATTAAGTGTCTATTCAATAAGATTATCTGAATAGAGATTGCATTTTTTGATGGAAAATCTGATAAGCATAATACATAATATTTTACTGAACAGAAGTAGATTTTTGGTTGGGTTACAATCATCGCAACTGTATACCCCAAAAACAACGTAGAGAAAATGTTCTTTCATGGGCTAATTTCTGATAACATACCTGGGGTGTAGCCCTTCCTTTCAATTTTGGCACTTAAGGATATTGGGCCTGAGGTACAGAACCAGCAACAGAGAGTCTTTTCTTTTGTGCCCGCTTGGGGTGACTGTAAGAAATAAAAGAGAGAAACACTTAGGGGTTGCTTTGATACCATACTGTTTAGAACATGACAAAGACTAGGCTTAAAAAAACAAAAAGTGGTATTTTTCATTACCTAGAAACACTTATTTTTCCATTATTCTTCATTATGATGATTCTTTTCCATTGGACAATACCAATTAATCAAAATTTAAGGTAGAGGATTTATTAAGATCATGTAATCTATACATGATTTGGCATCTCTATGTATAGTTAGAAATTTAAAAAAAAAACCCTTTCCACAGTCCATTTAAACTTTCTTTTTAAAGAAAATAATTTGGTTATATTCTCAAACATGAGAGTCTTCTCTCCCTGAGAATTTCCTTTTTCATTTCAATTGACACATTAAAACAGAAAATCCAACTCAGTATTAATTAAAGATGTTATTATTTTTGGTAAATCAAATGAAGGTTTTGAAGTCAAATTGGAGTTTAGGTCTCATAGAAAACATCATTAAGATGCTTACTTTTTATAAGGAGTTAAAAACTGCTTTATGAGACTAATGATCTCTCCATTAACAACAACTATCCCTATATATCAGTAATAATGCAATGCAGTACAAATTCTTAAATTTGGTTCTTTTAAGTTTGCAGTCTCTTTGTAAGAAACCCTGTTCCTCTTCCAATAAAATAACTGGTCAGGGAACAGTTCAAAGGTTTGTTTTATGTTTGTTTTTTCCTCTGGAATGACATATTTCATACAAAGCGCTGGTTGTCTATTTCTTTTAAAATGAGTAAAAATACAACCAAGAGCACATGTAGAATTTATCAATTCTGAATACTGGTGCTCTAATAATATGTCATTAATATTTACAGCACTGGTTTTCTAAAAATATTGATTATATAATAAAGATTTTGTAGTTTAGGTGATTATGCTTTAGTATTTGTATGCCAAAAACCAGGAATGAAGAATTCAGTCCATTCTTACCAGTAATGAAGGAGTGTTGATATCTATATGCTCAAAGACTGTAAATTCCTTCTTTAATTTTACTGGTAGAAGCCAAGGCCTGTGCAATTCGGCTTTCACCCAATAGCGCACACTACCATGTCGGCCTTCGAATGAGGTAGCAAGTGGTCTGTGCAGAACACAAAGGTCAAAATTTATTATTTTTTATTTCTCTTTCTAATAATTATACATTTGGTCAGAGCATAAGTATAAATATATTGTACTGTATTGTTTATGCATCATGATATATAAAACATTATTTTCTGGCAAGAATACCAGAGGGAACAGTCTTTTTTTTTGGGGGGGGAGGAGTGGTGGTTAAAAAAAAAATTCCTGTTATCCAATAGTAGATATGAATATTTTACTGTAGTTACAGGTATTTTTCTAAAACATGCCATAAGAATACAGTTCTTTTAAACGTGTAAGAGGCTACTTTAATTATGAGCAAAGTTATGAAACCGGAAAATAAGCAATTCTAAATAAACAGTAATTTCTTTGAAAATGGCTTTTAATAGATAGCCCACCTTTCTTTTATTGTGGTTTATTCTGCATGCCAACTAATATAAAGACATTTAGTCCAAATGTTTTCAATACCAGACTTCATTAGCCAAGGGTTATGACCCCTTGTGGTTATTAGTTAGGTGATAATAGATTACATATTCAGCGTTGCAAATCTGTTTTGAGTGAATTTTTTTCTCTAATGTCTTTCTGATCATTATATAACCTAGTTAGATTCTCCACTGCCCCCCAATAAAAACACCTTCTAATGGCTACTTAAAATCTCAACTGCAGATTTATCACCTTAATTTCTGCATCTCAGAATGATTTAAGAATATGTACATATATGTATATATCTATTACTTTGAATACTTTTAAATTATCTTTGAATTTTCTATTTTATTTCTATCATACTATTTGGATAGTCAGAAGTTCACAGAATTATCTGTTTTCTTCTCACCAAATTCTCATCCTATCTGCACCTTACTTTATCTTTCTGCACCAATGCTGTATTGGATTTTTTCCCTTATTTTCTTTCAAGAATATTTTATCAGTTAATTCTTTTATGTTAATTTATATAGAATAGAAGGTACAAAACAATGTTTCTAAATAATCTTTGCAATAACATTCTAAAGTTAATTATAGTTTGTTATGGATAATTTATATGACCATTGCTTTTAATTGACTCTATTAACTTAACTTATTCAGTCTATAGTACCTTTATTCTAATTATACTTAAATTTTGTTTTTCTCTCTAAAGACATGCCTTACTCAATTTTGAGGTTCAAAAACATTCTCAATTATTTTCTTTTATGAATTCTCTTTACATGTAACAATTCAAATATTAAATTTCAGTATACAGAGATGGGAGTTAAATATTATGGGCACCTGATTAACATTTATACAAGTTAAGTTTATTCTAGGACAATCAGTACAAGGGCCATTTTGTAATATCTGTGATATGCATTATTCCTTTTCCATTAAGTTGAAAATTATAAAATTCTTTCACATCCCTCAATATTCTTCTTTCTGTTAATAAGAAAACAAGATTAAAATTCATATGCAAAAATGAATTTACTTTTCTAAGTTATTTTTATTACTCATTATTTTCTACCCTGTTACTGACTGGGATGTGAATGTCCCCTACTCCCATCTCACCCTTGGCTTTCCTTTTATTGTGATAGGGCTGTTAAACTTAAACACCTCCATGGAGCCATACAAGACTTCAAAGAAGAAGTCTTAAGTATATCACTTATGCTCACTGGTCAGGTAATAAGTATTTATCAAATGTCTACTATACTAGCAGCAAGCTAGGCCCTAATCAACCCTAGTCTTATTTTTCTAAAACAAATGAAATATTGTGTTTCATACTCAAGCACTGTAACTCCTTAGCAAGTACTGGGAATTCAGATTTATTTCCATAATTTTATCATTGGAAAGAAAAAATAGCCTCTTAAGTTTAATGGGCTGTTTTCCTATATCAGGTTTTAGTATATTTCCTCAGTAATGAAAAGGGTTTTTTTTTTTGTTTGGTGTGTATGTGTGTGTGTTGTGCTGGGTTTTTTTTTTTGCAACTATAAATGTAAAAATGTAGACTATTGAGAATTTTTTAAACTTTAAAAGAATGCGTTTGACTATTTGGTGAAACATGGGAATTATATGTAATACTTACGTCTGTGGAAGCTCAAAGCTGAATGCATATTCATGCCTTCCTGAATGAATAGTGTGGAGGCCTTCTTCTGAATTGTCATCATCTATTAAAAAAAAAAAAATGCCATTCTGTCTTTAAGTATTATGAATGTTGTTATAAATTATAAAGAAGTGTCTACTTATTCAATAAGGCAAAATTTGAAATTTTATTCTCCCCTCCCACAAAAGTCTTTTAATTTGCCATATTAACGGCCCATTTTGTGGAAATATTAAGTTCTTAACTTAGGCCACTTATTGGTTTGCTTCTTTTTGCAGAATGGTAAAATGTAAGTGAATATAAACTTTCCTAATTTAAAATCATTTAAAAACTTCTACACGTAGAATGGTCTTTTATGGCAGTGGATTTTTATGTGCTTCTCTCATCCCCATCTTTAAAATGTGACTTCTAAACTAAAAAAATTATTCAGTCTTGGTAGTTGTTTTTCCCTTTATTTCTATTAACATCAGCAAACAATTTCCATGCAAGTAATCAGAACTACCTTTTAATGCTATCTGACAATATCAAATTATGGAGTTCGGGGAGGAGGCAACTTATTACAAAGCAACTACCATTGTTCAAAGGGAAGGGGAGAGTGTATAGAGTCCCACCCTTTGGAAAGATGAAACCCAGGGAGGTGTTTGTAACTTTCAGGCAATAAGCTAAGCAGACCTTCCCTTTCATCTGATCCATATTCTCATTACTAATACATTGTAGGAAAGCCTTTCACCAAAATGGAGGGTCCAAGTGTTCTTCCTTCTCTATACTGGGTGATAGCCATAAAGGCCACTTTTCTTTCCATAGCCTATAATCCTAGGGCTGCACCCCTTGTTATTACTGCATTCTCCTAAATAAACTTACTTTCTTCCCCTCAACTATTTTAAGAACACACATATAAATGACTGGCTCTTATTTTTCCATTATATGAAAAGGTTAAAAAAACCCTCCCCCCCCCAGCTTTGTACTTTTCACAAAACCCAAGAATCACTCTGGTTTAAACATTTCACCCCAATGATGATTTCATTGCAGCTCCATGGCTAGCTAAAACAGCCATTTCTACATTTCTGGCCCTCCAGCAGCCCAAAGTCCCCCCCCCTTTCTTTCCATCTCTTGCTGCTCTCTTTTTGTGCCAGCTCAGCAGTCTTAGGGAGGCTCTGCACAGAGGCAGCAGCGGAGGCAGGGGCGGCAGCAGCAGCAGAAGCTGAGCCCGAGCCCAGTGGTAAACAAGTGCTGAGCTGTCAATCAAAGACTCGACTCAAGCAGGAGAGGACCGGCCTAAACCGGCGCGAGCTGAGCCCCAGCCAGCCAGCCAGCCTCCCATATACATACAGTATACATTACACTCTAGCGCATTCGCTCACGCACAACCTAGCCTGCTGGATAGACCCGAGGAGGGCAGGGGTGGGGAAGCCGGGGTGGGGGGAAGAGGGGGGGCCAGTGTGTGCAAAGACACCCTCTCCTCTTAAGCTTCCGGTTTTGCACACCCAGGCCAGTGTGCCCAAGGGGTTTTGCCTACGTTTGGCCCAGACACCTTTAGGTGCAGGTTGTTACCGGCTTTGGAAATTGGAACAAAGAAAAAAAAGGGTAGGGGGAGGGAGTCATCAAAACAAAATATAGTAATGTAACGCAAAACGAAATGCAAAGGGTCCCCTGGGTAGGGAAGGTGTTCATGCACGTGCGCGCGCACACACACACGAAGCCCTGGTGTAATTAAAATGTAATACTTAAGCATGATTTGACCCCGTCCCGCCCCCCCCCTTGCTATCTTGAGTCCTGGCTATCAGTCTCTTGGGTCATCGCAAGGTAACACTCTTTGTTATCGAATGGCAAGGTGGGTGGGAAACACCCTTCTTTTTCAACAAAATTGACACTCTTTTAGACCTTCCTCCACGCCTCTGCAGAGGGAAGGATTTCCCCGAAACCTGCCTAGTCCGGTTATTTCCAGTTAAAAACGGGAGGGTCCAGGACAATCCCGATATCCTCAAGGCCGTGGGGGAAGGGGAGAGAGAAATTTGCATTTCCATTCCACGAAAGCCCAATTACTTTCATGCGGGGGGGCCCCCAACAAGGGTGTGCGTGGGGGCAGGTTAATGCAAAGGAAAGGAGGGCAACGCCGCTTAGCGGGGTCCGGGGAGGGCTGCGTGGGGCGGCACAGCGACAAGGATGGGGACCGAACGCAGACTGATTGACTGACTGCCCAGGAGGAACCTTGCACCGGCGCGCGCCGGAATCCAGGAACTGGAATCCTCAAGCCTCGCCCCCTCCCTGCCTGAATTCCCTCTCCCCACCGGGACAGGCACCCAATCCAATCAGCAGCTGGCATCGCCTTAGCAACAGGCTAACAAACCAAGCTCCGCCTATCGCTGCCGGCACGGGGCGTGGCCTCGGTTACCAGGCTAGTTTGAGAGGTCCCTGGTCTTAAGTCATTGAAACTATTCCAGGTTAATGTTGGTCCGCGTTTGGCTGGACTGGGGGTGGTGAGTGGGTGGGGATGGGTGATAACAGGTTCTTGTTAATGAAATATGGCAGACACAAATTAATGTGTATTCTGCTCTCTAATATTTTTTCCCATCCTTCCCCACCCCCAACCATGCGAGGCTCCCTTAACTACATCATATCTTTTGTATTTCCTTAACAATTTACCCTTCTTTCCCCGCAAAAGACCTGATAGCTTAGGTGATTAGTTGTAGACTCCGGTGGCTGCTTTTGAATAAGCACCAGGAAAGCTATTAGGCATTTGCTCTTTACAATGTGGTTTAATGTTTGAGGGCCTTAACAATTAATAGACACAAATCATGGGCAAATAGTTTTATTCTCCTATGGAAAATGTCAGTTTTCCCTTAACACCCTGACATGCTGCATCATAGATGCAAGTTATATCATTCTTCATTTATTCCTACATTTGACTGAGACTTCAGGTATCATAACTTAGCTAGGAATATATATTTTTTAAGAAGAGAGGAGAAAAAACCAAAGCATCTCAAATTCTGTATTCTATCTGCAAAATCGTCAATGTCTGAACTAAATACTGCATTAAAAAGGAGAAGGACCAAGAATTACATAACCAGTTTTAACATTATAGTCTTCTGGTGCTAGGAATTAAGTCATCGCCACCACCTGACGCGTGTAACCAATCTGCTGAGAGCAGAACAGGCGCCCCTCCTCACCCCCCCCCAGTACTGGTCCGAAACAGGATTGAACCGCTTCTAACAAAGGGTGGAAACTTAGAAAAACAAGCTTAGAGTCTGCTATATTTCCACAATGTATCCATTCAAACAATAGATTAGCAATCTCTGGACCTCTTCCCCCTTTGACAATCTTTATCTTCCTTTTTTTTTTAACCAAAATCAGACCTAGTGTGAGAAGTCCTTTACATTTCCTTTTGACTGGCACCGGTTTCATTCAATGTATGTTCCAAAGTTAGGAATGATGCTCTCAAAAGAAAAGAATTGACCCTAAATGGCCTCCTGGTCAAAATTTAAACCTACCATGATGATAGTCTTTTTTTTTCTTTTTTTCTTTTTTTAAAGAAAGGAAGAAAGGTAGCTTGATGTAAATTTTGAACCGAACTGGAAAGAGGAGGAAAAAATAACACGTGGGGTGTTTGATAGCATATGTCAAAATAAGCTACGGGAAACCCTTTATCAAGGAACAATGATTAATTCTGAAATCATTGCATGTCGATGTTAAAATCTAAAATGCACCTCTAAGCATTCATTAAAAGATGCTACTCCATGCTTTTATTGCAACTCATTTTGTGGAGGCAAGATTGCAAAGTAAAAAAAAAAAAATGAAACATTTCAGATTCGACTCCAGTTTCTGGCAATGCATTTGGAAATCACATTATTAAAATGATTAAATCTCATGGAAGGAGCTATTAGAAATAAGGTACACATTAATTGCAAGTGCGTATTGCAAGAGGCTGATTGAGGTGTTAGAGGTAGTTCAGCAAAGTGCTCTATACAGTCACTTTGCAGATGGCTCGAATGCATTGCTACTTAATACTCGATAAATGTCAAAAAAAATCAAAATTTCAAGTTTGCAAAAAGATTCTCTACAACAAACGTTCAGATTTTAAACTGCAAAAGCGAAAAGTTAATTTGCATCAATTCATAAAAAATGAGGCAAGTTAAAAAAATCATATTCCTTTATGACTTATGAATAATACAAAAAAACTTACCTCTTTCATGCCCAATTAAGATGTCTTTATGGTTGAAATATTCTACTTCTTCAGTGTAATTCTGTGTATAGGCAGTGTTGGATCCAGCATTTCTAGATTCAGTCCAGCGTACTTTCGCATGTCCTCTTGCATGAATTTTGAGAGATTTTACTCTGATTTCCCCAGTAACTTCTAAATTCACTCTTCCTGAGACTGTATCCCCACTAGAATATACAGGGACATTACTGTCATTAAGACAGTCAAAGCTTATTGTCAAACTCTTAACCTTCCCCAGCACCATGATTATAACAAAATCTATAAAAAAATATAATGTAAGAAAAAAAAAGTCAAGATCACATATAAAATGCGATCTTCACTAAACACTGATCGATGTCTTTGCTGTGCAAAAGGCTTGCAGGCAGGATCAGTGCATTCTTTACAAATAGTTCATTGAGATTTCTTAAAAAGTCACAGCACTGGATGCTGCTCGCTGCTGCTTCTCAGATCAGTGGTCTCTGTACAAAGACGGGTGGCTACAGCTTGCCAGCTCACTTTAAAACCAGCTTTGTGAAAAACAACCCCACAGAGCATGCGCACGGCTCTGCTGCTTTTTCTTCCCCCTCCCTCGCGTCCCTCTTCCTTTCTGGTACAGTAGGTGTAGAACAGAGGGAAGAAGACTGCTGTAGACGGAGAGCTGAACCTGACTTCTCTTCATTGAGTGTTCCTATTGGTGGGCAGGCTACCGTAAAACTCTAGAAGTGGGATAGGAGGCCTTACTACCGAGCAGATTCTAATAGCCGTGATAGAACGGGGATGGCAGAGCAGGGGACACGCGGGGACGCAGGCGGAGAGAGGCTGGGGCGGCTGCTGCGGCTCCGCTCGCCCAGGGCGTGCATAGAGGGGCAGGGCTGAACTGTGCCCACCGGGAACTATAGGGGAAAGAAGATTAAAACGGGGAGGGGAGAGGGAGAAACTTGTTGGACCGGCCGCTATAACGTGATCTAATGAATTTCAAGAGAAATTGCAATAAAAATAAATACAACAAACCCAGGCTTAAGAAATATGGTTAATAGACAAATAGGATGGGTTGGAAACTTTGTGAGTATTTCATGCTGTTAAGGGTAGGGTGGAAATCGACTCAGTGGAGGTCAGAGGAATCCTGTCTTTCTATTAAGATGACTGCCGTGGACTAGAGAGAGACCAGAGCTGTGTGCAGCAGCAGCAGCAGCAGCAGCAGCTGTCCTCTCCATCTCTAAACTCCATTGCTATGAAAAACAACCAACAACCAAATCATTAGGGTTGACCACTTCCTTAAAAGAAAGTCCCGTTTAAAGGACCCACCTACACGCCTTATTTTAAGGGTTTGACATGATGTCCAGAGAGGGCTCCAAGAATCGTCTGGTTTGGGAGAAAAAAAATGAAACCTTGGAAAAGATAACGAGATCTAGTGTTTATTTAGACATACTACTGTACGGAGAAATAGTGTGGATAATGTTTTGGGTTTTTTTTATAAGTCCTAATTCTAGATTAGATGACATTAAACATAGTCTTTTAAAAAGTACCTATGTGGGTGGCTTTGAAGGCCTTGGATTATTCAGCAAGTGTATTAATTCTGGATGTATTATCTTCAAGGTACATAATACTGTTCCCATTTTTTCAGAAGTTTAGAAACACAGTTGAGCTACCAAGACGTTCCTTCATAATAGAAACCTGATTTCCTGATCTCTCAGACTGAAACAACGTTGCTTTTAAAAAAAAAAGTCTTTGAAACTAAAGCTTGGCTGTAATGAAGTTCATGAAAGGAATAAGCTACTGAGGATATTTGCTAAATATGCTGGTAAGTTAAATAGCAAAATAGTATTTCTAACTTAAAATGTTAATCTTCCCTCCCTTTTTTTTACTTTCTGCATCTAAGTAAAAAAAAGTATGTGACTAAAATAATAATACATTTTGGTCATCTTTTCTAGATAGACATTTCTACATTTTAGATTTTTTAGTGTAACATATCTGGATAAGTCAATGTGTTAGTTCTGCTGACCACTTCTTTTTGAAATACAGAAATAGACTATGGTTGGGGGTAGCTTACCTATTTCTTGTCACTGGATCTTAACTATGCATATGTCAGTATTTTTCTGAAGTGTAAATCATTTAAGGGCCAGGGAGGAGGACTTATTACCATGGTGTGGAGGGAGAGAGAGCACTGTCTTGCAGTCAAAGGACCAGAGTTCAAATTCTAGCTTTTCACTTTGTAACTTTGTGCCAATGTTTTAAGTGCTCTGGGCTTCAGATTTCTAGTCTGGAAAATGAGGGAGTTGGAATAGATAACCTTTAAATTCCCATCCAGCTCTAAATCTTTGTTTATGAAGTTATTGCTTACATGTCTAAATATCTCCTCTGACTTAGGACAGGATACAGTGTATTAATGGAGAAAATTACATGGTATAGTGATACCAGTGTACTGGACAAAGTCAAGACACCTAGGTCAGACTCTTGGGTTCTATCCTCCTTAAATGTGTGACCATGTATGAGTCACTTAACCTCTGTGAGCCTGTAAAATGGAACCAAAATATCTGTGCTTTCTGCTTCATGGGTTTTTTGTGAAGAAGGTAGTTCATAAACCTTAAAGTTTATAAACTTTAATAAACTTTCAAAGTCTTAATAAATGTTTGTTGAATTGTTGTTAATTTAGACAGTTATGTTCAGAATAACGGGTCTGTTTTTCATGGGGGAAAAATATATCTTCTCTTGGTTGACACCTGGGTGGAAATTCTATGGGTCTTATAAAATACTTTGAAGGCTAGCCTGGGCTTGTAGTACAAATAATACTTGTGTTTCTCCGCCACCTAGTGGTAAAGCTGTTGAACTTGCCAAAATGCTTACCTCATCAGCTTCCTCAATATTAAATGCTATTTAGTTCAATAATGTCAAAAAAAAGTTCTGTACACTATGAGAAAGACTCTAATGCTAGTTGGTGTTTTACATGACTAAACACCATTTATCCATGGCTGGATGTTTTAGAGCTTGTAGAAAAATTTGAAAATACAAATGTTTCTGAAAACCAAGCATTACAAAGCCACGGTTAAAATCAATTAAAAGAGAGCCAAAACCACCTGTAAGTTGTTTAGTAAACTGTCTTTAACATATACATACAGTTTATAATTTATTCTTGATTTTATACAATCCCTAATATTTGATGCTTTTAGATTCAATAAATTGCCAGTATTTCTTTTTTAAATCAGATTGGGTAAAGGCTTATCAATTTAGTTAGTCTTTTCAAAGAACAATCTTTCAGTTTGGTTTATTAGTTCTATAGTATTTTTGGTTCCCAATTTATTTCTTCTCTTTTGAAAGTATTTTTTATTCTGTACTTTTTTAGAGTTTGTTTATCTGTTGAGTTTACTAATATCTGGTTGTCTTTTGTTTTGAGCTTTTATTTTTTTGTTTATAAAAATACTTTTAGTAATGCTAAAGAAATACTAAATTACTACTTATTGCTTCTCCACTAACGCTTTTTAACCCCTGAAGATTTTATGCACTTACCTAGTACTTTATACCTTCTTTTTCTTCAGAGGACTTTTCTCTTGCATGTTTTTCAGGTAAAAGACCTTAAATGAATTTTAGGTTCACTTTTGCTTCTCTCTTTCCACTTGTTTCAGGGTCTACAACTACAAAATCCTGCTGCTTCATTCAGAACCTCTTTAAAATCCATGTCTACTTTTCCATTTTCTTGTGAAAAAAAAAATTTGTCCAAAATTTGGATATCTTCTCTCATGATGATGACTTTTTTTTCCCTTTCAGGACTTCTTGCCCAAATTATCCCACCATTTAGGCAGTTTAAAATGCCACAGTCAGAATAATATTCCTTTCCTGTATTATAATCATTATGTTATCCTTCTCAAATAGCTTCACTTGGTCCTTTTTGTTTTTTGCATAAGTTTAAGCTATTCATTCTTGCCACCAAGGCTTTTCCTCTATTACACCCCAACTTAAAACTCATGTGTCATCTCCTCCTACTCATCTGCTAACTCTCCATACTCCTGTCAAGCACATCTTTCTGCCCCCTTTGTTAACTTGTCTCACTGTTGCCTCTGTGCCTAGTTAAATGCTGCTTCCTGTCCTCCGAACAACCTCCCACTGCTGCAGTGGGAAACCGCCTTCCTCTTCTTAAAATCCCCACTTTAGACTGCTTTCTGGCCAGCAAGCTGAAAAAGAAGTACAGGTTCCAATGAGGTAATATTTGTAAAACCCTTAACACAGTGCCTGGCACATAGGCACTATCAAGATGCTTATTCCCTTTCCTTCCTTTTAGTCTAGTTTGCAAACCTGCACACAGATCCATTTAGACAAAATGCTTTTTTTCTCCTTTTTTCTGCCTATTCAGAAGACTCTGAATGATGAACAAAGCTTATTAAATTTTATTTTAAGTATTTTGGTAGATGTGATTTTTATAATCAAAGCTGAAATATTTGTGAAATATAGAACAAAAAAAACAGTATGAGTTGAGGGGCTCTTAATTTCTGTTCCCCTAAAGTTCTCCTCCAGTAGGTCTCACAGTAGATACAGCACTGGCCCTGGAGTTAGAAGAACCTGAGTTCAAACTTGGCATCAGATACTTAGCTATGTGACCCTGGGCAAGGCATTTAACCCTGATTGCCTCAGTTCCTTATCTGTAAAATGAGCTGGAGAAGGAAATGGCAAACCACTCCAGTATCTTTGCCAAGAAAACCCCAAATGAGGCCACAGAGAGTCAGACGTGATTGAAATGACTCAACAACAACCACTATTAGCTAAAATTTGTATAGTATTTTACAATTTTTATTTAATTTGATCCTTATAACAACTCAAGGAGGTAGTTGCTATTATTATGATCCTCATTTTATAGTTGAGGAAACGGAAGCAAACAGATTAAGTGACTTGCCCAAGGTTCCACAGCTAATAAGTATCTGAGGTGGGATTGGAACCCAGGTCATTCTGACTCCAGGCCCAGTGCTCTGTCACAGCTGCTCCAGATAAAGCAATAATTCAGAGCTAATGACAGCATAAATTTTTTTTGAGTGGATCTGTGATTTTGTTAGTATAGAAAACTTCCAGAGAGGAACTTCCTTCACCAATGCAAATTAGCATCTTTTCTGCCATTTCTAGTCTTAGAGAGTAGTCTAGGGCATGGAAGAGTTAAGTGAATTGCCCGCAGTCCCATTACCAAATGCCAGAAGTGTGGCCTGAATCTAGGTTTTCATTTGTAAAACTTGTAAGAGATTGCAAAGTACCATATACTTAAAAAAAATAAAATAAGTAGAAGCTTTGGCAGAACTATTGCCAGTTATGATTTTCAAGTTTTTTAAGATTATGTTAGTGTTAGGTATAATTATAGAGAAAGACAGCACTCTGACTTATTTCATACAAAAACTACCCAGATTGGAGAAATCATACTAGGAGCTGGGATGTAAAGAGCCATTTCAACTCTGTAATACTCCTTTCTAGGAGTTCAAAGGTAGAATTTTGTTTTGTAAAATTAAAGGTGG